AGAGACAGAGAGAGAGGGAGGTGGAGAAAGAGGGAGACAGATACAGAGAGAAAGGAAGATAGGGGGAGAGAGATGGAGGGAGAGGCAGACAGTGAGAAAAAGGGAGACAGAAAGGGGGAGAAAGAGACAGAGAGAGAAGGAGATGGAGAGAGAGGGAGACAGAGACAAAGGAAAACAGAGAGAGGGAGGGAGGGAGAGAGGGAGACAGAGAAAGGGGAGAGAGACGGGGGGGGGAGAGACAGAGAGAGATAGAGACAAAAGGGAGGGAGACAGAGAAGGAGACGAGAGACAGCGAGTGACATCCATCCTTCCGTCCTGTTTTCCTTGCTCCCCAGACCTCGTCGCAATGGGTTAAATGTAGGCATCTCTGTTTAGCCTGCACCCCTTCACCCAGCAAGCCGGGAGGGGGGGGGGGGGGGCACCTTCTGCTTTTCCTCCCGCCCCCCCCCTTTCTTCACTGACCCCTCCTTTTCGTCCTCCCAAGGCGGAGTCAGTTTCCCCAGCGGTGTTTTAAGTCAGCCAGTGTTTGTAAGGCAACTCGATCCCTTCATCAGAGAAAGGCTGGATGCCGGTTAGTTGACACCGGGTGAGTTGCCGTCCTCTTCTCCTCACGGCAGGATACCCTCACCCCCTTCACCCCCCACCTCGAGGTGAGATGATCCGACCTTGCACGGTGGAAATTTGTTAGCCAAATGGGGAAGGGTCTCAGCTCCGGGCAGAGATGCCCACCGATCTCTCGCTCGCTCCCTTCGCTCCCCCTACTCAAAAAATAAAAGCGCGAGGAGGGGGGGGAAATTCGTAATACTTTTCTCTCCACCTCTGTCTCTTTTTCTGGGTGACGGGGTGGGGTGGGGTCTCCCTGCGGCAGAGAGGTCTTTTCTTAAAAGTTCTTGGGGGGGTGTTTGTGAGGAAGAGGGACGAAATGCCCGGGAAGGGTTGTGAAACTAGACAAGGCTTGTTGTTCCTTGAGTAGCCGAAATGGGTCTGGGGAGAGAACCGGGGGGTGGGGGGGGGGCTTTCTCCCACTTGGGGCGGTGGGAAAAGAGGGGGGGGGAAAGGGGGGGGCAATCTGGCCCAAATTGTGAGTGGCGCGGTTTGTGCCTCAGGAGGGAAAGGTGTGGTAATTGTACTATTTTGGGGGGGGGGGCGAGTTGGAGAAGTCAAAATAGTTACAGGCCAAGCCAGGGTGTCCAAACTTGGCAACTTTAAAAGTGGTGGACTTCAATTCCCAGAATTCCCCAGCCAGCTGAGGGAATGGGGAATGGCTGGGGAATTCTGGCTGGGGAATTCTGGGAGTTGAAGTCCACAAGTCTTAAAAGTTGTCACAATTGTGCGCACACACACACACCCAACAAACACCCTTTTCAGGCTAAGCTTTCTCCTTTCTTTGACCAAACGCCCTTGGTTCTCTCCTGATGTCCTTGACAGTTCTCTTGCTTCGTCCTGTCTCCTGATGTCCAGCCTCAAAGGGGGGTGGACGATTGGGGAGAAGAATCGGGGTGGGGTTGGGGGGCTGCGATAGAATTCCTTTGAGGATTACTGCTGTCTTAAGCAATGCCCCCCCCCCTCCCCTTATAGGGCCAGGAGTCCTCCAGGAGCTACGTGGTCCTTATGGAGTATTTAACTGAGACAGAGACAGGAGAATGTAAGTAAAAGTTAGCAGTTGAGGCCACCACGCCTGCCTTCCGTCCTTCCGCCTCCAAAACCTCCTCCTTCATCTCGTCTCTCTTTTCTTCAGAACCGGTTTCATTCCTTTCTCTTTCCTCCCTTTCACAGGCTCCCCCAGTTCCAGCACTATGGATGCCCGGCCGCTCTTCCAA